TAAGAATAATTAATATTTTATTAAATAATAATGAAATTAGCGATACTCTAAGCAATTTAGCCTTAAATTCCTAAAAAAAACAAAAGAAAAAAAAGAAAAGAAAATACATTCTAAGAAATTCATGAATTTAAATTAGTCCAAATAATTTCACGATTATCCGTGATAATAATTAACATAATCATTTTAATCAATCATATTTTGAATAGGTCCCAGTAAATATTTGGAATGCCAATAACCTTGAAGTGGAAAACACTAATTTGAAAATAAAAAATGCAGCACTAGAAGTTGAAAATACAAACTTAAAAATAGAAAATGCAGATCTTAAATCACAAAACTCTGCCCTCGAAAAAGATAACGAAGTATTCAAATCAAATAATGCGGGTCTGGAGAGAGATAACAAGGAACTTAAATCACAAAACATAATTTTCGAAAAAGACAGTAAGAATTTCAAAAAAGTCAACGAAAACCTCAACAAGCAAATAGAAGATTCGAACCTAAAAATTAAAGAACTAAATAATAAAGTATAGATCTCCACCTACAACTAACGAGCCTCAAGGAGCACCATAATACTCTTAACAATCAGTTTACAGATTTACTAATGAAAAACAAAATAGACGAAGAAACCATAAAAAAGTTGAATAAAGAAATCAAAAAAATAAATGACGAAAAAGATAAAGTAGAAAATGATTTATTAGTAATAATCAAAGAACAAAAAGAAGAAATTAAAGTAAGGAATGAATTGATAGACAAATTAAATGCTAAAAAATTAGAACTTATTATGAAACAAAAAAAGAAAAAATGTAATTAAATACAACTTTTCACGGTTGATTTATAATTTCTATCCATAATAAAATTTATAAACTCTTCAAACTTGAACCTTACAAAAATAAATCAAAACTCAATAAATTCTTTATTTAATTTAATAAGCTATCAAAAAGTTACAAGTTATTGAACGATTTTGATTTTTAGTTGTAATAAGAAATAAATTTTGCGTCAATTCAATAATTTCATTTTCAGCAACTTCAAACTTCTTCAAATAATACTCATTTGCGCTTTTATTTTTAAACGCACTGTTTTCTTCCTTTAAAATTTCATTTTCTTTATTTTAATTTAAAGTCTGAAAAAAAATTTACTTAGAAACAAGATGCTTGGCACCCCATTTACCAATACACTTTTAATGTAAGCATTATAATTTAACTTGGTTTCTTGCTTAAAATTATATAATTTTGCTGAATTTATATTTTAATTTTGCCTGAATTATATTTTAATCTGCCTGGAATTATATCTAATTTTACTCGAAATTCTGCTTGAAGAGGGTTGTATAACTTACTATAAGTTATTTTTAAAATGTAAGTTACATTTTAAATTATGTAAGTTACTATATATAGATGTGTAAGGAACTGGTAAGTATGTGATGGAACTCTTTTTTTTTTTTTGAAATATGCATTGTAATTTTACTTAATATAATATAATGCAATTTAACCGGGTTTGCAAACCATTTATTTATATGGGAGCTTTACTAGCAAAATGACCTCTGAGCCATTGTTACGTGGGATTTTAATAAGGAAAATCATAATAAAT